CTCTGAAGCTTCGATCAGCTGAGGATCCGTTTCAGCACCTTTGCCTTTGCCCGCGAGATGGAAAACACCATCGTCCACATTGACACTTTCGGTGGCGAAGGCACGGAGAGGGGGCACTGCTTTGTGGGCGCTGGTGCCATTAGACCGCATCAACTCGTCAGCTTCCGGGGCTGCAGAGACATGACATACCCGGTGACAGGTACCTGGACAAACTTCGTTTTCAACTTGCAGCTCGCTTGTAGGCATGCCTGCCAGTACGCCCCCCCGCTCATCGAGCGGCAGTTTTTGGGAAGCTAAGGCACCTGTCTGACAACTTCGATGACACAGGCTGGGCTCGTGCCTCAAGAGCAATGCACTTTTTTGGGCTGGGTCTTCGTCATTCAGCTACTTGGGAGGCACTGCCTTCTGGAAAGAGGTTGGGGCAAGGACGTCTGCGCGACCGCGAAGTGGGGAGGCGAAGGGACGGACGCTCGTGCTTGTCTTGGAGATCGGTCCCTCCTCTCAGCATGCCATTTTCTGCCCGGCCCGAGCGTCGAGAACCCGACTAAGGAAGGCGTTCCACAAGCAAGTCCATCGCATGCAGGCTGGGTGCGCGACAGAAGCGGACACTATAGCTTGCGAGCTTGCGCCTCCTTGACGTGCACCTCGCACGCTCACGTCTTGGGACGTTGTTCTGAATATACAGAGTCGCGACACAGGACATGTTGTCTTATGGCAACCGGCCGCTTGAGCCTTGCACGCAGAGATGTCCTGAGATGCCCTGAGTCTAACTTGGCCCATCCCCGAGTCCCGTCGCGTCTCGGTGAACCTAAGGGAGCTGCTGGCCTACGTGCCCTTCCGTCTGAACAGGGCAGTGCTCTGGCGCCCCTTGGAAAGCAATCGAGCTGCAGGCGAATTGCGCAGGCACAGTTTGGGCTTCCCTTGAAGCCGCGCGCCCCCGTGCCTTAGAGGCTCCGACGTTCTGCACAGCCCGGCCTTGGGCGCCAGCAGCCACGCACGGCTCAGCACCGATCCGGCGACATCGCGGACGCTCCTGCAGGCTGGCGCGGGCCGTAGGATGTGGAAGGATCTGAGGCTAGCTGTAGCTGGAAAGGATCGACCATAAGCGCGGAAAATGGCCGCTAGCTTGAACTTGAAATTACGAGCAGTGTAGCATCCTGAAGCTTCGCATGCGGGACGGAGACAAAGTACGGGCTGCTTGCTTTGCCGATAGTGAGGCTCAAGCAGAAAAGCAGCTCTTGCCTTCTGACCCTGGTTGCAGCCATGGCGCTGACGGAACAGCAAATATACTCTCATTTGGATAAGCTCGTGGTGCGCCATGGCTGCAGGAGGGGCGTGGTCTTGAGTTTGACAAGGTCCGCTTTGGAACCAAGCATGACCGACCTGTTGACGAGAGTGCCATCCGACACACACCAGTACAGCACTCCTGTTTGCGGGAGGCACCAGCAGGGCAATCCTTTCCAGAAAGCCTCCAAACCTTCACGGACATGCGCAGTGAGGAAAGCTAACCGGCGGGCCCGGAAGGACAGTCCAAAGAACACTTGGAACCATCTGAACCTTGCCCCCGCCCACCTGCAAAGCCGATGACTTTCCCGAATCCCTTTTCAGAGTCTTTGAGCTTCCTTCCCGAGAGCTTGGCGGATAAGCGTGGGCTGGAACGATCGACATAATCAGTAGCTTGTTTGCCGGGACGGGAGAATTCGAGGTCAATGTTGTCACCTGTTCTCTTGGACGTCCACTTCATGATGGACATTTGCGACGAGGACGCGGACGACGATGGCGGCTGAGGCTCACTGCTGCAGTCTGTGGTTTAGGAGGGAATCGCAGGCAGGATGCCAGGATGAGTTGACTCTTCTGATTGGACGGCACAACTTCTATTTCACTAGTTTTATGAGTTTTATGCTAGTCTGTTGCAGACTCGGTGTGCAAAGGTAAGTTGTTCACAAACACTCTGTTGAAGAAACCCCGCCACGACAGCCCAGGCCCGCCACGTTCAACAGGCAAGAAAAGCATCCCTCACCACGACGACAAAGACAATAAACGCACTCAGCACC